ATATATATATATTATATCTATAGATAGATCAATAGATAGATAATAGCCGTGTACTGACACGGACACTAGACCACACCTTTGTTTATGTTTGAGTGAAATATTTTAATGCATTTTTTTCATCCACTCGGAGTTGTTTGAGTAACATTTGTTCAAAGAAGCGAGTATTGAACCAAATGTAGCCGGCGTAATCAAAACAACTCTCCAATATTACCAATATTTATTGATTAACCCGGGACGATGTGGATTATAGATAGAATTACCATGACCTAGGTTTACCAGTATCCACTGGCTGACCTGGGGTGGATCATAGATAGAGTAGACCTTATATACTATGATCTAGGTTTACCAGTATCCACTGGCTGACCCGGGGTGGATTATAGATAAAATAGATTTTACTATAGCGTGTATTTGTGTGGGTTACATCACGTACAGGAATGAAAATGTTACGTGACTTGGACTCACCGAACAAACAAGCAAAGACAAACCCTTCATGGGAACCCTGCGTGGGAGCCCTGCATGACACTCGTACCAGACAGGGAGGAATGATGTTGGGGCACTTATCCGTGGACAAGAACCCGTCATGTGATTGGATGTCTTATTATTGCCATGGTGACGAAGTAACTCAAGGTATGTCGGCATCAGTTCTTTATAGATATATATTTATTTCAATCAAATCAGCATAATGATACAAGGATAGACGACCATTATTACGGGAAGGGTCCTCATGAAGCAAAGACCTTCAACATGAAACACTTAACCTCGAACGCAAGACATGCTTTTTTCAAATATTCAAACGTTAATCTTACACCTTAAGCGTGTCTCTTCATTCGTAAATCAACCAACTCACTTTTCCTTGTTTGCTTTCAAGCTGTAAATTAGTTCAACACGTTTATTACCCGTAAAGATTTGTGCATTAAATTATGGATATTTACTTTTGAAGGTGACTACCTGTCGATTATTGGTGTACTACAAGTAATTCTGTTTGTAAGGCATTGCTAAGTAATAACCACTATAAGTGAATGACATAAAAATTACATTATTAGCCATGGAAAAAAAATGTACTAGCTATTTATCACTAAAAATCATGTTTTTTTAAGGCGCCGTGCCGGGAAAGTCGCTCGGCTGCAACTTGCTTCTAGCTCAGTTATGCCTCGGTTCTGATCATTAGTAGATATTTGTGAAAACTACACAGCAAAACGTGTACAAATATACAAGAAAGAATTCAAAAAAAGGATAAATTCAAGTTTTAGGGCTCTTTTTCATTAACATTTGAGGTCAAATTGTAAAGCCCAAAGAATAAAGCATTTTGTTAAACAAACCCGGCACTTATAAAGTTAAATAAGTAAAGAGAATTCATTTAACCTAAAACAATTGGCGCCAAACAGCCTAGTGGTTCGGTTCAATATTTCATCTAGAATAGCAGTAGCGTAGGTGTCAAGTAAATGATGCATGGGTTAAACCATGTTCACTAATCTGCTACTGGCTGCACACATAAAATAACCAACCTGATATATTGTTATCAACTCGACGCTGTTTGCGGGTCAAAACAATCTTTCTTGGTCATGGCGTAATACAAGTTCTAGAAGGACACGCGAATAAATAAAGTACAACACTACAGAAGATGATGCAAAGGGATATAATAATCATAGCATAACATAACATAATGGTTTATTCACAATTCATCACCTTGTGTACAGAAAAAAGAAGAAAGAAAAGCAAAAAGCGTGAAAATTTGTTTACTCCGACGAAGGACTAGCGTACGTCCGAAACGTCAGTAAGTTTTTTTATCTTTTCACGGTGTATAATTTAACCTTTTATAATTACTGTTTCATCAGATAAGTTGCATTTTCCAATGAAAGCCGGAGAGAGGAAAGTATATATAGAAATAGTATCAACCGCAGACCGCAAAGCACCGCAGGCGGCAGGCTTTATCAATTCCATTCAGAACTAAATATTTCTTTTCCAGATTTCGAAACTGACTTGGCAATTATAACATCGTTTTGTGTTAGTTTAGGTTACTTTTTTCTTTCAATATCATGAAATAGTGTTGCTATGGGAATAAGGTCTAAATACAGACAGACAGACAGACAGACTGACAGACAGATATACTCTTTATTCAAATAGTTACTCCATTATAATTTATCCTATTTGATAGGAGAATTGTTTATATTTGGAATGATATTCCATTGTCTTAAAAAATCCCGGCTAAAATTATTATTAAAAATTATTTATTATCATTATCATACTTAGCAATTTTGGCTCTGTTACCAGAGAAGCCTTCGTACCCCGTAGCATGCCGGGAGCATCGAGGACGGTCTGCAAATAAGGTAAGAGCTTGGAAACCAGGCCAGACGATAAATCGAGTGACCTGGGCAATACTTAATTTTTGTCGCTATGTCGTGATAGAAGAATGGGAACTATTAAGTGTTTAACTGTGCAATCCCATTCGGTACCAGTTCCCCACGTCCCTCTCATTTATCAAAATGCGGTACACCGTAGGTAAAACTATATTTCGGCAAGCCATTACTTGTCTTTCTTTAGCTCACTGAGCATGCGCAGCAACTAGGAATGACAGGACTGGAGCCGAATCATTTCTTTATAATAATGTGTATGCTGCTACTGCGCATGATCATAAAGGAAAGAGTTTCAGGGAGGAACAAATTCCGTCCTATGGGTACCCCCCTGACGTTTATAAATTAAATAACTTCGTTTAAATTATATTTGATTTTAACTGAAAATCTGACAATCTGGAATATTGAATATAACGTGGGATATAATAACCCGCAATAGTACCACCGAACAGGGCGACCAGTCTTCAACGATGTTTTCGCTATTTACAAACTAATTTTAGTTAGATCCAAATATTAGATATATAAAGCCTGTGTCGACTATGTTTTAAACAGTTTGCCTTTAGGAAGCTTATCTCGCCGTGTGAGATTGACATCCTCGTAGATAAAGACTTCAAATGACAGCACCTTTGCAGCCTGCATATTAATCCTTTAAGTCTTCGCATTAATTATTCGACGCTGCTTAATATTGACACAACTATATCAAAGTTGTCTGATTTTTCTCGTGACTTTCTCCTTAAGTAGTGACGTAGCCTTTACCAGCAAGCACGTGACTCGGTCACATGACTCTTCTCGTTCTTTCTTATCTATGATTTTTTTCTTTAACGAATATGATGCATATATGTTTTCTGTTTGCACTTATTGCAGACTCAGTCTCCTCTCTAGCTAATAATGTGATGTGGACTAGGCTAAAACGTGACCTCCTTCATGTGATCACCTTGTACATGGTAGACCCAGTCTCCTCTCTAGTTAATAATATGATGTAGCCTGGGCTTGCACATGACCTCTTTCGTGTGACATGGTAGACCCAGTCTCCCCTCCACATAATCATCAGGATTGGCTTGGGCTAGCACGTGACCTCCTTCATGTAATCATTTTGTACATGGTAGACCCAGCCTTCTCTCTATCTAATAATAAGATGTGGCCTGGGCTAGCAGGTAACTTCTTTTATATGACCATTTTCGTACATAGGATTCATGTACATAGTTGATCCATTGTTTCTTTGGATGATGACAGCTTGTATCTCGCCTGCACTGTCGATGTTAGGCAGTCTATAGATACAAAAACATTCAACATGACGTTAATCAAACATTACTGTGCGATTACTGTAAAGTACTGTAGGCAGACCCTAGTTAGTTGTGGAATGGTGGTCTTAAATAGTTAAGGTAATACTTACTTGTCAAAGTTCACCTCCTTGTGGTTGTAGTCGGGGGGTCTCGTTGTCCGTAAGCTTATAGACCTTGTGACTGTAACATGTTTCTTAGTATCTTGTCCTATTTTACTGATGTCATCTAATGAACGTCCTCTGATAGCCGGTGGGGGAGGAGGCCGGGATGAATTGATCATATCTGGACTTGGACTTGGGTACATCAAATCATCCGGTGGGGGTGGTAGAGCGGGCGGAGGTGCCGGGAATGTATTCGATAATGTATCTAGGTCACTTTTTTTCTTGACGTCACAGTTCGATGACGCAATTGTGTTTAGGTTTTGTATAGGTGCGTCGGAATTGTCCAGGTTTTTTTTCTTTCTTCTTTTTTTGTCTTTGAATCTTTTATGCAAAAACATTAAACCAAAGATGAGAAGGAAGAGAAACGTAGCAGATCCAAACGTGATAAGAAATACCGTCATTAAAGACCTGCCATTATCTGGAAAGCAAACGAGACAAAAATATGTTAGAAGAGATTCATAGACATACCAGACAGACATACCAATGTACTGCAGTCAGACAGACAGACATTCAGACAGATCGATGTACTGCAATAAGACAGACCCACACACTGCAGACAGACAGACAGAAAGAGATAGGAATACAAATGCTATGCAGTACTTTGATTGACACACACTAATATAGAAGATAAAAAAAGCTTACTTGCAACATAGACGAACCATATGATGATTGACATAAGTATTCCAGGACCGTCTCCTTTCCTTTTGGCAGACAGCACATTCCCTACATCATTATTGATCAAAGTCGAGTTTACTGAAGAGTTCGAAGTGGTGGTAGTGGCATCAGTCTGCAGATTCATCGTGTAGTTGAGTGTTGTTGAGATTTTGGTTGTGTTGACGTGGTGAAGAGTGTTTGTTGTTGAAGTGGTAGTAGCGTCAGTCGGATGCATCGTGTATTTGAATTTTGTTGTTGGTAAACTAGTTTTGGGTTTATTTTTCTTTCTTTTCCTTTTAACTGAAATGAAAATATATAGTAAAAATAATAATTAAAAAATATGTCATGATCTTATTTTTTCATTCCATTATATATTCATTAATGATAATAAATATATATGTTGAAGTCAGAATTCATTTTATTTCTTTAAATTTAAAATACTTTTACAGATAGACGGGTCGATCCGTGGTCAGAAGAAGCTGGTCACGCTATCATTAAAATTTAAAATAGCATTCCCCAATAAGCCATTTTCAAGTCGAGTAAAAGACTGATTCAAGTTAGCATCGCAGTGCATTGTGGGACTTTTTTAGGGGACGAGGTTGACGCCATCTTGAATATCTCTCCCCTAAACCGACAGACTGAAGATTCCGGTACTGCAATGCCAACTCGAGCGGTCCCCCCCCCCCACCATGGAATGTCAAATAATGGACAGCAGACGGAACAAGATAAGATCCGTGGTCACGTGCACGGATCGAAACGTTTGAAAAAATATTTGAAAAGTCAGAAATGAAACTACTAAACTACTAAAAATAAATATACAGTAATAATAAATATATAGTAATCATGAGAATAATAATATAGATTATTTATCTCTTCACCAAAGGAATTAAACGGAGTAGAGAAATGATAGTATATGTAAATGAGATTCGTAAACATAGTAACATATTACTGTAACCGTGGTGACTATAATATTTGATCGTATCGCGTGAGTACAGTGCTATTGATAATCGATCTGATAATATATATTGATAATGTAGAGTAAACATACCACAAGAATAGATGATAGTGAGATAAGCATGCCCCCTGCAAGGATCACCAAACACAGCCTTCCCAACCTCGAATGAGCACTTCTTTTTTCTCCTACATAACTTTTTCAACTTCTCTGTAACATCGTTCTCACCACAGTTATAGTAGAAGTCACTCTCACTTCCCTGGTATGGACAAACGATGTTTCCTGCCTGTGTCCTGCCATAGCTACCGCCAAGGATGTTGATAGCGTACGACGAGTTTGGACATTTTATTTTCAATACTTCTCCTTGACACACGACTTTGTTAACGATATCAGCGTCGAATTCTCCCCGTTCACGGCGAACTAGAACGTTAAACATGATTATCCGTTAAAATGAATTATTTAGAGCCAACTTTTGTTATTTATAGACATAGTAGGATGACATTTACTATCACACTTCCCTTCAACTTCTTTTCTTTTAACATTCTGTCATTTCAGTGTTTTTTAATTGTATATTATTTCAGCCGATCAGCTTTCTAAGGTTGACGCGCGCACATCCGATTTTGTCGCGTAATCGAGTGAGAAAGAAGTAAATCTATCTCACCAAATGATATGACATGATATGCACTGATGCACAATGTTTTCCTAATATTAACTATTATATAATATTCCAGCTGAGAACGAGTTTAACTCTTTTCTGTTGATGTTTTTTTYAGTCATGAATCGTTCTCGTACAAAATGGTTTTCTTTCTTTGTCAACCAGTAAATCACGCTGGAATATTTTCTTTCTCGTGGTTAACCGCACTCAGTAACTGCAAAACTCATTCAAAACTACGGGAAGCCAGAACACTCTAGGCCTTTTAGAACTGTGTTTACGTATACCTTGTGCAAATTTGTACCAAAAATGAGAAACGAAAAAAGTAAAACAAAAAGCCTTCATCTCGAAGGCATCTAAAAAGTGCAAAATTTGACAAGGAAGAAAAACCTTGAGGTAATAATAAATTGATGAGAAAAACAAAAAAATAGATATAAAAGAATCCGTAAAAGGTGCTCAGTTCTTTATTTATGTGAATCCAGGTGTTCAGAGGATAGAAAGCTTTTAGCTTGACTTCATAAAATACGAAACACGCCAAAACACATTTGAACCGCGATTTTCAATATTCTTACTGTTTTCTAACATTCTATCCATCATGTCATTCATGACGCGTCCTTGTCATTGTTGTTCAAGATTAGAAAGRTTTTTCAGCTGACGATAAAATGTAAATTCTAAACCCAGAGGCTTTGTGATATAGTCGATAAAAGTGCTTCTCTACTCTTACTGAATATGAATCCACAATTCGATATCATTGATGTGTTTATTTTAACCTAACAAAAGTGTACAGTGACTCACAGCAGTAAACCATCAATGATACACCCAAGAATTWTTTTTGAACAGAAATTAAATGTATAGTATTTAGCAATTCAAAGGCAGGAAGGGATTTTAAATAAGATTGGTTATTAAGGATTATAAAGATACGAGAAAAGAGATCAACAAATCCTCTTTTTTCACACAGCACACAAGATAGTCTTGTTTTGACAGTATTTTCTCTACATTTGATCAATACCGTTTTCTTGACATAARAATCAAACAAAAGAAAAACGATATATTCAAAGAAGCGATTCATTTTGACTAGAAGATGTTTTTAATTCAAAGCAGTTAAAAGCAACTAAGAAACGAATTATCTAAATCAAGTGCTATCTTCATTTCTTCCCGTTTAATGAAGATGACACAACAACGCCGTCTTTTGCATCTTCCGATGATAAACGTTCTAATTTCAAAACTTCAAGCCGCAAAGAAAAAAAAAACCCATCAAATGAGTCTCGTTCAATTGAAGCCTCTAGTAAAATTGTTGTGACTCCTGGAGAAAGGCTYGAAGATATTTTTAGTAGAATCAAATACTGATTTACATAGCTTACCGATGGCAATAGCTGGATGTACTATGGCATGTAGGAAAAACATCATTGTCACCTAAGAAACGGGGGACAAAACACAACCAAACAGGATTAAAAATGAAAAAAATGCACTTTTTTCGAGTTTCCATGCCATGAGAATAAATAATAAGTATGAAAAATAATAAGTTTGAGTTACCATTATGAAGACTTGGTGAGCTTGTCTGGATTGTGGTGGGATTATTGATGCTGCATTCAACGCCATCATCATTTTGTCAGCGACCAAAACTTTTGGTTGTATTCTTTAACTGATTTTAAATCTAGGTAGGATTAAAGAGACGAATTCGTGAGATTTCTTCACGCTAAACAGAAAGTGTTGTACAAACTACCCAGGAATTTTGCCAAAGTCTGCCTGGTGAGTAGAGGAAGTACAGTAGGTTGTTGTAGTTTATGAACCGCAACACCTGTTTTTAGCTGCGCTGGTGATAATTCGCTGAGAGTGAAAGCCGATAATACATAATGAGACGTACAGACGAATCACTGGTCAACGTCGGTCTTAGCTCACGACGTACCCGTGCAAATAATACCGATAACAATGTTTAGTTTGACTCTTGTACAGATATATGTATAGAAAAGATATTCAAAATCTCCTTGTCGTACAACTTACTAAAGTAATTATCCACATGCAAGTTGCTCCATCGATTGCCAACGATATTCTCCTATGATTTGGCACTTCAAAATCATTTCTTGAATAAGCAATAACTTCTGTAAATCGATCTTTTTCAAAGAAGTGCAAGGTATAACTTAATCCAAAGAAGCCAGTCGAATTGGAAAATGTTTATTCTGATTACGAGCTGTGGTATCAAACACAGAGACATGAGTGTCACCGGGTAGGATACTTTATGCAAGTCACGAAACCATCGAAGATAATAATAGCAARTATCTTCTATATACTAAACAAAGAACTACAAAAGATATAGCTTTTGATAATCAATCTATACCCATATAGAAGTGTACATAGAGCAGGTATGAACGCGGCCGTTTAATTAAATATCTTTGTATTTGCTATGAACACGTCACTTTTGTCAGGTCTACAGTGAGGGATAGAAACTATATACCAAGCTATTGAATATATACTTATTATTCCAGGGGAGATTTTTTTTCCTCACAACTGTCACAGTTAATCAATATCACGTTTTAAGAAGCTTAAAATCTTTGCAATATTGGAATACTAAGTTGATGGTTTTTCTAAGATAGTAATCAGATAATTATACGTTTTTGGCTTTCATCTTTATAATCTCTGAATGTATGGGCATTTACAAGACCCATTGTTTTCCTTTAAGACAATTAAGAGGTTTATTTAGGAAATTACTGTAGGTAAGATACTGATAGGCAGATCTAATTCCCCTTGGGGGAGGGATTGGTAGTGCTTGTAAGTGCTGTATATAGCCTAATAGAGAATTTCTTTTTTGGTAGTTATTGTTATTGGTGGATGTCGGCGCGTGGCCGGTATCACTAACTCATTTATCTCACCAAAACAGAGACTAACATTCTAAACTAATATCAAGACTGTTGCGTCTGAATAACTATTATTTATTCCGCCAGAGATTCAAATTCCTTATTTTGTCTCGGTATCACATTAAATTAACATACCTATTTCAAAGTCTTTCCTTAATTACAGAAGCTATTATAGTTATTCTATGTTTTGTTTTTCGCCGGCTAGAATAATCGAAGTAGCGTTGGTCGGATTGATGATGCCATACTCTTAAGCTAGGAAAAGTAGTTTCAATTCATTCTTGTGGATGTGGAAATATTTAGTTAAAAATACCAGTGAAAACAAGAAACGAAAAAGAAAGAAAGAAAGAAAGAAAAGCCGCAGAGTCTCCAAGAGCGACTTGTGACTGAAGGAAGCGAGGGACGCTCTAGTTAATATTATGCCAAACACCTGCCAAGGCGCCGCGGGACGCTGAGGGCTTGTCACAGGCACGTCACGGAAGCCGCGCACGCGCCGCACTCATTACCTACTACATGTAAAACGTTACAAAGAAAATGCCTGTTAATGAAATGCGGAACACAGTCTGCCCGCCTAGAGACAAGTAAATAAACATTATAAGGGAAGGAAGGTAATCCATAGTCAAGGAAGACAACTTAGATTAAACTTTGCAAACGAAAAAGAGGAGTTTCAATATACAAGACCAATAGGTGTCCTACTGTCTCGATCCATGTGACCATTTCTAATACAACTGTAAAGAGAACTGAATATAACGTCCGTGTTGGTTAACACTGAGCGGTATTACTCGTTGCTAGTAGGATTGCGCAACGCTGACTGCGCTGTAAACACGAAACAGTAACTATACAGGGTATTGCACGACATTACAGCGGTAGCGACGACGCCTTTATGCAAAACTAACAAAAACAGAATGAATTTATAAAACTGAAAAAGTCTAATGACAGCGAGTCATCAGGTGATTGAATAGTAAACCAATAAATAAGAAAATTACGTTTTGATTTGCTAATAATTATGATCATTATTATTGTCCATGGTATAACTCTTTTCTATTCTCGTTCTTTGTGTTTGATTAATTTCTTTATAAAACGTAGTTCTACACGCCTCATATCAGAGCTAGACATCACTATTGACTCCCTTCGTTCTTTATCAAGTGTTTATACTAGACATTAAAAAACTCTTAAGAAAAGATGTTTATAACTCGTAGATTTTATCTTGATAATAAGGCATGGAAAGAAAACTCCTTCACATCGGCGTGTTGACATCCATATGCAGTACTCACAGTAGTGTTGAGTAAGCCGACGCGCTCTTTTCGACTCCACAAGCCACGACTAGTGAACCTTGAAATACGTTATTTACAAAACTGACTAGGTCTTTATTACTGAACCTTGTAAAGCAAATGTACTTCCTGACCTATTCGCTTGTCTGTAAAACTTTGTTTATGATTGAAGCACGAGTTTTTCAGATTTTATTATAAACAATCTGCATTGTTATAAATAATGAATTGAAAGCAGTGCTTTTGATATATAGGGGAAGGTAAGTAAAGCTGAGAAAAAAACCGTCAAAGATCATCATCATAACCGCACCTACAGACAAATACTTTTAAATTCTTTGAAAAAAATAAAATTGTTTAAATAGTCTAGAAAGAAAAGCGTTCTTGGTTGATGAAACCTTATGTGACGCGAATTCAACACTAAGATTCAGTTTTACAGCATATATTTCCGTTCTACAGCACAACTTATTTCAACTCAAAAATATTTTAAAACCGTTTTCCGTCCTTGAACATTTTCATTTACTTGAATCTGAGAATAAGAAAGGAAATCTGACATCGAAAAGTCCTTTTCATACTTAAGCCTTGACTGTACTAGGGACGATGATTAATCCTTGTACCAATAATCAAAAGTACGAATAATACGATAAAAGTTGAACTCACTTCAAATAAACTATTCTTAAGGTGTAGAGGATGGATGAATAGATGCTGTGAGATGGAGAGACGACTCCCCTGGAAATCCTTTATGAGGTTTTTACTAAGAGCCAAAGAAAATAAGAATTAAATAAAAAAATATCTTACCTTGAAGATACGAGTAGATTCAGTAAGGTTATACGAAGGAACGCTTCCATTCAGCCACGAGAGAGTACTCATCCAAGAAACGCGTAATACATCGGCGGCGGTGACTCATCTGCATGGACTTGATTAGATGTCAGCAGGACACTAGATGTAACAATACGACACAAGACTAAATACTACTGACTACAATGAATCCACAAGGGTTGGAGCAAATGACTAAAGCCKAGAATGCAGAAGAAAAAGTGTGTCATACATTGTACCTGTGCAAGCTGTGGGAAGGGTTGAATTCTAATTAAATTACGAGGAAAGACTAAAGCCCACCCCCTAACACCTTCATAAACTGACCWTCAATGCAGTTAAAGTAGATGGTCGGGGACCAAAGGGTTGTAAGAATAGACTTGTATAAATCGAGCGCTTGTTTCAATTGGTATAACAACAGCAAAGCTGGTGCACACAAACTCTCTTTTATCTGCCGAATAAACAAACTCTTTTGATCACATCAAATGGTTTTGAATCAAGAAGCACTGTCAATTGGCCTAACGTTGATTGTACTTATGCCGTGACTGACATTAACAACACTGTAGGAAATGTCAAACGACCAATAGAATCATTTCCTTCAGCTCAAATAATTCTTCTTTCGTCTTCCTGTTCAGCCGGTGGCCTTATGTTCTAATATCTCTCCTCTTCCTTGATCAGTTAGCACTAAACTAGCAAGAACAGCCGATCTAGTTATTATTATTACAGCAAGGATTCTGTTAACTAGCTTTGGTTGTTCATTGATCAGCAGTGAATATTTAACGGTGATGGATTCTCTTTCTTCTTTACTGAGTGTATTTCTATTAGATAGTTTGTCGTCTGGAGGTAATGTGTGTCACCAACCCCTCGTACGCCCTCATGCAAGAACAAAGATCAATCGACATTTCGATCGGCAACGACCATCGCCTGACATGATAGCAAACCACGTGCATCAACCTGTTGGTATCCAGTAGTCTTGCCAATCCGCACCTCAAGATGCGCTTTAATCTACACACTTTGGCCATGTCTGGGGACCTTTGCGCAGCGTCCTGCAGCTATTTACACTAGAAACTTGCGTTATATAGCTACAAGTTACAGATACTATAGACTATTAGGATAAGTTCCGTTCTTTAAATTAAATACAAAATAAACATAATGCGAAGCTAATTAAAGAGGCGTAATCTATTGAAGTATATCCCACGGTATGACTAATACATTAACGAACCTTACTGTGTTGACCCAGTATCGATATCTCGAGTCATCCATGTGCTGCTGATGTCGTGGCTGATGTACAGGAAAGAACGCATATGAACAATCAGAAGCAATATTAGGAATGAAAATACACGAATGTGAAACATTAGCCCCAGGGCACGTGTAGCTTGTTCATCCAGGTGATGTGTGAACCAATCAGATATCACGCCCAAGTAATCAAATACCAATAATTACATAGTTGTTTATTCAAGGTGGATCGATGAGAAATCAGGAAATCAGTGATGCACAAATAAACAGATCCGTCGAGAATCGGCGTGCAAAACTGATGATAGAATCGCGATGGTCGCTAGGACTAAGGGGAGAGGGAAGGGGAGGAATGACACAAGTGATAATCGATGTAGTTGGGTCCCAAATATATTTATAAAGATCCGGTGATTTGGAAACGAGCTTTAGGCTGAAACGACACGACACCATATTCTATTCGTTTAATGATTGTTCTTCTATCTTACAGCAAAAGACTAGCAGAGACTTCCTGTCTATGGCAAAGTTGAAAATCAAAGTAGCATCCTTCCTGATAGGTACATATACATATATATAATACCATTCATTATGATTAAACACTGTTATCTGTTAGCCATGATGCACTTAGTTTAGTCTGCTGCACTGTCTGTACTTCATTATATTATTCCCCTCTCAGTGTCAATATCTTTCCCACTTTACACATGCATTCCCATTCTAAGACTGCTAGGATTTGAACTTGTGAACAAAAGCTATAAATTATAAAATAAATTGAAATCAAAATGAAACCTGGGCATGTATGGGTGGGAACGAAAAGCAACTACTGAGAAATATTCTGCCTGAAAAACAGCCTCCTATGTACAGAAAAACACTACATTATCCCAGTCTGTCTTATTTATATTGTATATATTCAATTGTCATAAACAATAATTTTAGGTTATTTACAATTAGACTTGAAATTAATAATACGATAAGATACAATATAATGCCTTAAGGAAAATTAGGTGGGAACAAATGTGTTGTAGAGGTTATAAGGATATCTGCAGAAGTCAAGGGTTGTTCATCTTCAGATATTCTTTTTATGTATATAATACAATGCATTGAATAAATTGCATTTGTAGCTAAATTATATAGAAAAGAATCCTGCTAAAGAAGATGTCGATGTGCAAGTATTTCTGCAGCAGTCAATGGTCTTGCATCCTCCGTTATCCTTCTAATTGGAGGTTGTAATACAACCTCTTGTGTTATCCCTACCAGTGGTTCTTGTTTATAGAATTCATCACTTAATTTATGAAACCTTAAATCTAATTCTGGTGGGATATTCTTGTCTTTTTCTTGCGAGTTTGATTCAGTTGAGTCTTCCAAATCTGGAACAACTTGAGGAGTTTCGCCATTACTTGCCAAATGATACCTAAGAAAGAAAGAAACAACAATTTTATTCAGTGCTTCTAGATGTATCAAGGATAAAATTTGTTTATCAAGAGAAAAAAAATGGTGAATTCCCTTTTGGCTTCTTCCCCCAGGAAGTACTATGGAAATATAGCCYACTCAGACCCTCCCCACCCCTTGGAAATTCCAATCCCCCTCTGTGGGGGAGGTATGGATATTTTCTTGAACTACGCAATATACCCTTCTCTGGTCTTCCCCACCCCTTTGAAATTCCAATTCCCCTCTGTGGGGGATGTGTGGATATTTTCTGGAACTACCCCAGTATTGAGCCRGCCTGTATGTCCGCTCGGAACGAGTTACATGATTGGATTAAAAAACAATAGATTGGTCATCCAAACAATAGCACTAAACCTAACCTTACAAAAGCGGTACTGTATTAAGGGAGCAATGAAAATCCAGCTTTCGAGCGGTACTGGATAACTCCAACTATTCCCTCCTAAGATCCTCCCCATCCCTTGGGAAGTGCCATTCTTTTTTTTATACAATAGAACAGAAACAATAAAAAAGAAAATGACTTTAATTTTGTAAATGAAGAATGTAAAGGCATACCATGTAGTCATTGTGTTCYGTAGGAAGCCAAGAACCTCCGTCGCACATAACCTCTTGTTTGGATCCAGGGTTAAAAGTAATCGGATCAAAGACTTAGTTGACTCTGACACAAGACTTTCTCTAAAGTTAAACAAAACGGTAATATTAGAAGAAATATGGAATATAAAAACGTTTGATAGGTCAACTTCTGCAGAGTACATTAAACRGATGTTTTCATGACTCTTAGAGAAGAACTTTTTGTAAAATACCTTGTCAATGTACAACAAATATGGTGCATAACAGCTTACAACTAAGCCAAAATGTTGTACATACCCTGGTATAATAAACTCAGCACTCTTGATCTTCCTGAAAAGTTCATGAGGAACACTGTCGTAAAAAGGGAACTGGCCATACAACATGGTATACAGCACCACACCCAATGCCCACATGTCGCTAGCCTTTCCTGAGTATGGAGCGCCTGAAGCAATAATGACATTAACATTGTCATGGGGTGTTCTTATATAGCACAATAATTATTCACAACCATCTCGATGCAACTTAACATTCCTGACCAGTGGAGGACTTAAAGGGCTGTATATTAAGATGCTATTATAGCAGTCATGCAGTTTACAATCATGAGTGACTTGTGCCTCCAAATTGAAAAAGGCTGTGCCTGTTGCACCAGTTATCAAACTAACAATAATAGAATAATTTACATTTTGGCCTGAGAAAATATAGTAATATAATACATAGTATTAGACACTAATATCAATATAACATTCATTTTACTTAGACTGTTAATCACTAATTTTATAACTTTGTTCATGGACCAAAAGCAACAAATACCATCCTGAGTAAAGATTGACAGAAAGAGCAATAAAACAAATAATGTGCCAGCTTGGGTAGTAGCAAAAACTCATAATTTTATATGTCTCAAATGGCTAGACCACACTTTCATTTTTTCCTAATAACCTATGCAATCTTATAACCTTTTTTGTCTTGCTTCAATTTGAGGTAGAAATAAGATTAAGTGAGAGATTGCTGACTACCTGCTATCATGATACTCATCTGTCTAGACAAACCAAGCTTCTAAAAGTTTCATGTCTCCATTATGCTCACATGGTTTTAAGGTTTTCTAGAGTTTTCTGAGAACTAGCTTAAAAACAATTCTGTAGATGGATTCTACTGATTAGAGGATGTAAATTAATAATCATAGGTGAAGCTACAGAAAAACATTCAAGGAATCAAGTTATTTATCATGCTAATTTGCAATTCATTCTACGGTAGAAGGAAGCCATGCCCTTACTTTCATCAGCCTAGAGGTTGTTTCAGGGTATTGACGAAATTTGTCAATTGGAGTGTTATTTTTACCCACATTTGATGCATGCAATCACTCCATCAAAATATCAAAAAAGTATTAGTAAACCTGACATTATTTATTTACTAAAACAGCTATTAGAAAGTCAGGAATAATTGATCACATTGGTGATTAAAACTGATTGATTGAAACTCCATTTTAGTTGAGTGAATTCAATCACTCTTTCTCATGTTTGGTCTGGTAACTGTGACATTAAATTGTTCATTATTTTCACAGCAGTTTTTTAACCATACATTATGTTGTTAAAAATGAGAGGTGAGAATTCTCTTAATAATAATATATTGTCATTTTAACACAAATTTAATTTGTAAGATATAAAAGTTATCCTCTTGTGCTGTGAAATATTATCCTTGCTTATGTACTGCACTCACTTAATTATCTAAAGGTATTTACTAATCCATTGATGATAAAACTTATATCTGTCTATATAATGCGACAGAGCAGATTTCAAGACTGAATGCCTGTTTCTGGGCATTCTGATTGTATGACTGGTGATCCTGAATGCTACATTTGATTGGACATCATAAACTTGGCATCATGGTGTTTACTAAGTACTGTTGTCTCTATATATAGTAGCATATTATACTACTATTCTACTTACCACTTAGCACGTCAGGGCTGATGTAGGCTGGACTTCCTCGCTGGTCTTTGAGGAGATCATTCTCTCTGATCAAGTGTTTGCCAAGACAAAAGTTGGTGATTCTAATTTTCTTTGTTCTGCATAAAAGAAATAATTTTTATTGAAGTCAAATAATCTCTATTTACTTAAAATATATTTGAAAAATATGAAAAATATCTTTTTTTTAAACCTTTTAAAAACGAATTCTTATAATTGACATATAATGTATTTAATCTAACCGTCTATTGAGTACAATGTTTCCAAGCTTGAGATCTCGATGAACGATGTTTTTCTGTAAAAAAAATGAAACGCATCAAAAGAATGAATAGATTATGTAACATCAGGGCAATATATTTCATCCGATGGATATAAACATACCTTATGAAGGCACTCGACTACTCGTACAATATCATGGAATATTATAAGAGCTTCTCTTTCGTTTAATCTTTTTTCACGAATAACATAGTGTTGTAGATTGATTAAATCAGCAGTTCCTGTACCAAAATCATGGGCACATAAACAGTCCAGCACTAAACACAAACGATAACGCTTCTTTCCTGTTCGACTCTTGGAAGATGTACCGGGCTTATCACTTGAATTCCGATTATGGCTGTCCGATTCACTGGCTCCTTCCTCCATATATTCATCTTTGAATAGTCCATGATGATGTACGACTCCTTCTTCATCGTGTAAGAGTGACAGTAGTGAGTATTCTGTATGTAGGAGCATCTTTCCTTGCTTGTCGTCTTGTGTTTCATGGCCGACTTCTCCAAGCGTTAATATTTTGATCGAATAAAAATCATCAGTTCCTTCTTTCTTCGCGAGACATTGTACAATACTTCTAACAGGAGAGTTCCCTAATCGTGGCCCCAGTAAGTAAGGGCCAGCCCTTCTCAATCCACTGGGTCCACTTCTCTTCTTACTTCGTTTTGAGGTCGAAGCTCCTTCATCTTCTTCCAAACAATTTGCTTTTCTTTTTGCTCCGATTGCTCCTGAGTTACTCGAACGCATCACTTAGCCTCTAAGAAATAACTCTGTACTTTCACAGCCGTTCAATCTGATTTTTCTTTTCTTTTTTCATTATTTTTTTAATGTCACGTAAAAAACGTCGGCCATTTTGGATCGAATATTATTGTTCTGGAACTCAATCCCTTGCGACCGCGGAAAATACGAGGTACTGGGACCTAATCTATCAAAATCCTTTCTTTTTTACGGATATTGTCTTTTATAAATTCCAAAAAATTTATAGAATACACTACGAATCGATTCTTAAAGATTATTGCGTTGAAACTGAATTTTTATTCTTTATATTTACCCACATTTTATGTGCTATATATATATGCCATTACAAGAMAGTCAAAGGGTTTCCCGTTACTATAGCAACGTTGTGTATCTAACATGGACCTCAAACAAATTACCTTTTCATCATTACTGGACCTCAAACAGCTGTTATCTCTATAAGAATGTTCCAAGTCGATCCATCTTAACTTCAAAGAAGAATAAGATATTGGTRTTAGAATGGTAAGCTAAATTGAAACATCATTGCCATAAAATTTGGAACGATTATTTATATTCTAGAACAAGTTAGGCGATTCTAATGTGATAACGAGCAAGCGTACTGTCGCGTTCTTGTCGCATAAATAAATAATGTCTCCATTCTAATTGTTTCAACAGCAACAGGTATCTAGAACATTCCAGCATTCTCATTCCATCCAGCCAAGACTAAAGCCGTATTATCTGGATGGATATGGTAGTAAATCTATCGGTGAGCCTGACTGGAGACCACATCCCTTGAATGCTTTATCTCATCCTGATACACAACAACACAGTAAGATGTAAGAGAAACTTAATGTTTTCTTGGTAAATTACTCTCTTCCTACAGAGTCTATTTTTTTGGCCTTAAATACTGTCAATACTAACGGGATTTCCTTTTTATTTTCATGGATTGATGTACACAGGGGAGGAACAGGATTGGATTGGTATTCCAGTGTTAGATGCCCCCCACCATTACCACCAAGAGAGACACGCCAGGCTGTGCACGAAGACTCTACAAATGGTTAGTATAATGTGATGTGCCAGTAAGGAACTCATTGTTTATTATGCTCTCAGGATGGTAGGATGAATGAAGAAAACAGACCCCATTCGATATGAGAAAAGACTGCCATTACACTCCCCCCCTACACCACCACCACCACCCCCCACACNCCCCCCCCCCCATCGCCAACATCCCTGTCCCAAGGAACATTATAGTTAGTTTTACCAAGAAACTACTGTTCTATCTTGTGAATTTACTTAGACATCAAAAAAGAAAGAGAACATGTCAAAACTAAAGAGCCACTGTTAAGACGAGAGAGTCTGGCCACCAGCAAGCCTATTACCCCACATAAATATGAAGAAGAAGATGATGACAGATATTATTACATGAAACCATTTGAACTGACTCTTAGAAGAGCAGTAGGAGCTAAAAAGAAAGGTACCAAAAATAATATTATATAAAGACGAGTGTGTGTTCTCTTATTCCCTGCCTGAATAGAAAAGTGCTTGGGATTTGGCAGTTTAATCTATGCTTACAGACTATTTTTCTCTTACATGTATTACAGTATATTGTAAGAGGAATGGTATACCTCTTGCATCACTGGGAGACAAAACCTATCAAGTGCCAGAATATTYGAGAGATTTTCACAAACATGGCAGTACACGTCCTGTTACATCATTTGGGTACGTATTACTGTCGTTAGTACTCTATTATCGCTAAATTTTTGTATTACTGAGTAAACAAGTCTCATACAAGTCTGTTTGTATGACAGGGGTATTACAAGATCTGTTCCAGATACTTTCATTCCATTACAAGATCTACCTCTCAGACCAAGGTATGAAATACTGTCATTATTGACTACTGCATATGTAGTTATGTCTATCTACCATAAGGTCACTGCTTATGTTAAGGCATTACAGTGTTGAGCTAGGCTTCTTAGATTTCTTAGACATCACAACTATCGAGTTCTTTATCATCATGATTACCAACGGCAGCAAAGGCACCATAATAATTTTAAACATCAATGTCATTATCTTTATCAGCATCATCATAAATACCACCACCATCATCAACAATGTCATCATCACTATCAGCATCATCAATACCACCACCACCACCAACATCATCATCACTATCAGAATCATCATCAATACCATCATCATCATCAACGTCATCATCACTATCAGCATCATCAATACCACCACCTCCATTATCAGCAACATTGCCACCATCATCTTGATCATCATCACCAGTAGAAGAGAAGGAAGGCAAACATAAAATTTTAATTGCTTTCTAACAGACCAACATTTGAAGCAAGAAGAAAAGTATTTGAAAAAGCTCATGAAATACAAGAGGTGGTAGTTCTTGATACATGGAAGCCAGCACCAGCACTAGTTGCTTCATTTCAACTCCCTCTGACAGCATCTCACTTGCTACACTGATACACTGTCCAACAAACAATGGTTCATATGATGGCCCAAACTACTACACACCATGACTCTAGTCAACAACACTGTAGGTTTCCAGGAAAACATTAATTTCTTTTTATTTATCATTTATTATAACATTGTGAAGGTGATGGAAACTAGAGATAGGGTCAGTAAAACGCATGACAGACTTTACAATRTGTAGAAACTTTGGATGAATTTGCAAATACCAATAGCCATACTTAGACAAGCTTTCATTGAATTCAATCTTTATTTTTGTATTTTTAAAATTTATTACATAAAATGTCAAGAATGAAAATATTTATTTTGTACAAAAATAGGATTAATAAAATAATGTTTTTGATAAAGAATTTTCTCTTCTTTCGATTCTAACATTGGGAAATATTAAAAATAATATGGAAAGGGTAATAGAAAGTAGCATATCTATTACTGGTAACAAAACTCAATAACTGTTGGTTTATACAAGAAACCAACTTAATAAATAAAATATTTGATTTGAATAAAACTGTACAAATGTGATAAAAATGGAATATTAAATTCTATATACAACGCAACTGAGTTTTGTAGGAAGACAGACTCCTTGCTGTACGTCATCTTTATTGAATATTTTGAAGGTTTCCTGTGAAAATCAAAATGATTGTTAGTTACTTGATCAATGATTACAAGACAGAAGTGATTCTCCAGGTGGGAAAACTGCCAGATTACTTGTGATTGAAYGAAAATAATGGCAATAATCCAGAAACCATATCACTTCCTTTAACAACACACTACACTATCTCATAGTTTTTCTTTTTTCCCTCACATCCCTCCCTTTATTTTCGTATTATTGTAGATATATTAAAATATTAATATACATATATACATAAACAAGCATAGTAAACCATATTTATCAAATGTAGAACCACTGTCCTACATCGATAAATTATTTAAAGGTTATTGGTGCATATTTGCAAGGTACATTGACTTTATTTTACTAAACTTGAGTGCTGCAATTACATTTTTACCACAATAATTGTAAAGTAACATTATTACCTAGAGCTTTCTTGATGGCATTCTTCAAGTCTTCATTGCTGTTCAGGTCTGGTTGTGGTCCTGTGGTAACTGCAAGCTGATAGCTTGGTCCATAAGCCAGGAAATGCTGATGGAAAGATGACAGATCATTATGTATAGTATTTAACAGAGCATTATAGTATATTGAAAAGACAATGTTAAGATAATATGCCAAATGATAGAATATAAGTCCTCTGTCACTAACCTCATGTTCTGGTATGTCATTAGGTAAGAGTCTTCCCAACACAACACTTGTTAAATAGGTCCAGCAGCGAGCAGTATTAGTCATATYATAACCACCTATTATTGAAACAGTAATACAAAGATAAAATAGGTGATAAACATACTGTATGGTACCATATGTGATTGTTATTTCAGAGTTTTTATCTTGGTTCCAAAATTTTAACTCAATCACAGAATTAGTGCCATAAATTTAGTAGCTATATGAGACATCTTTGTAAAAAAAAGTTAATTATATCCTAAATAGAACAAATAAATATGTGTTGTTTCCCCCCCCCCA